ATGCATGCGTGCATGCATACATGCATACATGCACACATGCATACATACATATGTGCATACATACATGCATTACCTCTACACTCTACACGCAAACACATGTGGACATACACTTACACATGCATAATGTGCTTAAACTGTGTATACATATACGGTACGTACACATACATGTTCGTACAAAGGTACGTAGGCATGTGTGCATGCATTAGTGTACAAATACAGGCATGGCCGCATATATGTCTTGGGGCCACACCGAGGCGACGCCCACCATGGCTCATTCAAAGGTTGGTGCTGGACTGAGCATGGGCTCGCCATGTCAGGCATTACGTCTGCCGAAGACGGTGAGCTGAAGCGCAAAGTTGCTTAGATGGCCGCGACTACGGTTGTGCTGTTGCTGGCAGAGAGCTCGCAGGCCGTGGTACTTGCAGACAGTGGCATTCATACGAAGCACCTAAGTGCGGATGCAAGTTTTTCATGCAGCTATCATTTTGTTGGAGGCTGCGATGCTCAGGCGCACGGCGGAGTGCACAATGGACTGCTTTGTCACTCGCACCTCCTGCTGCGCTCGGTCCAGGTTTTCGGCTCCTGCACGACCCAAAGATGAAGCGTGCATGTCTCGGCGTCCGCAGTCGTGTGCAGTGCAGGGATGGGCTCGCAATGCCAGGTTTGATTCGCCTGTGGGCAAGCAGTCATTTACACATCTGTATCAAGGTCGATTATTGTCTACCTATACCACCACCTTTTTTTCCGTTCCTAGCTCGATCCTGTACCAGCATTTCTGGCTACCTACAGTTCTAGACCCCTCTACAAGAACTCCTGCATGCATGCATGTGCACACGCAGTTACGCACCGGTACAGGTTGTGCACCCGTTTGATCGAAAGCATGGGCAAGTGTCGCATCGACGATTCATACAAAGGTAAGGGAAAGACAACATGAAGCATCATGAGCAAGGCTCCACACGAGTATAAGTTACACTCATAACAAAACATAACAAAACACGAGATTGAGCTTCAATAAGCTTGTCTAAACATGCACATGTTGCAACACAGTGGTATGTCCGTCTCTGCACATATGTACATCAACACACGCACACATATGCATGTATATACATGTACACATACAGACAGACAAGTATATGCATATGCATGTACGTATTCATGTGCGTGTATACATGCACGCCCGCATCCCCACACACACACGCACACACACACACACATATATATATATATATACACATGTAGATCCCATCCATCCGTCCGTCTGCCGTCCGTCCGTCCACCCCATCCATCCGTACATACATACATTACAGTACATTACATTACGTTACTTTACCTTACATTATGTTACATGTCGTTAATACAGACATGAGGAAAAGGTGCACGAGTTAAAGTCGCTCGCCGCGAAGATTGCGTCAAAGATTGCAAGGCCCACCCAGACACAGTGCTATCAGGTCCAAAAATCCAGCAGAAACTGCTGTTGTGGCTCGCCAAGAGGTCGAGCTCTCAGTCTTGTGCAGCCTCCAGAAGCGAATCTGAGAAGTTGCTACAAGTGACGGTTTTTGCACGCGGAGGCGGACTACGTCATCGGTGATGTATGGCGAAATGGGACCTGGACGGGAAGCCTTTGCGACGCTGACAGCACTGTTCCGTTTAACAGAACGTCGTGCATGTAACAAGGCCTCAATCTCTTTCAGCTCTTCAGGTTTACGCCCTCGAAGCTGGCCCAGAGTGAATCCTGAGAGTGCCTTCAACCCCTTCAAGCCCTTCAAGCCCCAGAATCCCAGAAGCCGAAAGCGTGCATCCGGCTGCTTGCAGCGCAGGAGGCGAGCCGTGGAGGTCAACACGGAAGGGCTTGGTGGGCGCCTGGCAAAAGGCCTCCAGGACTGATTTCTTTTGCATGGTACCGCAGTATCTTTCGTGCTAGTTTATGTGGCTTGTTTTTATGTAGCATCACGTGACCTTGCCCCTTGTGACGTAATGCTACGATCTTGCGTAGTATCTCATCATGTTCTGTCTTACGTCTCATCTCTCATGCTTCTCCCCCTGCTTGGAGCGCAGTCTGCAGCAGTGTGGTTGCATGTGCTATGCACAGCCGTGACAGGATCGGAGCTGTTGCTGGCCCGAGGTGTGCTCGCACCGTTTTCTTTCCATGTTAAAGGGCCCGGCGAGATGGCGGAGACTTCTCGGCGCGGCTCGAAGGAGCATTACCTACACACCTAACATGGTGTCTATGGAGGCACTGCGTGCCAGGCAGCCGAAAGAACTGCTCCAAACGGACGTCTTTCGCACAGTGCCCCCATCCGACTTGACCCCTACCGATCTAGCAGATCTGGCCTCCAGTCAAGTCCTCACAGATCCTTCCAAGGTCCTGGAAGTTTATAAGCGCCATGTATCCAGTGGTAGTGCAGACTCAGCTGTGTTGATCCGGGCGTTCGCACAGCTGGGATTCCTCTTTGATCCGAATTCATTCTTTTCGACTGCAGATCGGCAGCTTCTGACCAAACATAAGACTTTCCGATCCTTGGCACACGATCTCTGGAAGGTGCAAGACGAGCTGCCTGACGCCGTTGCACCACTTTTGCTCTACTCCATGGCATGCCTGGACTATCGTTGCGTTCCACTCCTTCCCCGTCTCTTGGATGCAGTCGAACGTAGTTTGGCCAACTTTCGAACGGAGGCCTTGTCCCTACTGTTGCATTCGATGGCTTCCTTGGGCCTCGGGGGCGAACAAGTCATCTTCGATGACCAGGACGGGTACAGAACACGTGATTACAGCCAGCTCTCTGCGCAGATCATCCAGGAATTGGGCAGCAGAGCCTTGCTCCAAGATTCGGACGGAAGTGTCCATGACTGGTCAAGGGCAGCTTTCGGTGTGGTTATGTCCGGGCTTTATGATGTCAGCGAGACAGGCCAGGGCTATCCAGTGCTTCCGCTCCTTATTGTCCGTGCATGTGAGCAGCTCCACGACAAGTCCGAACTGGAGCAGTCCGGATGGGCGCAATTCTTCTTGTATCAAACCTTGTATTGCGTTGATGTTGAGAAGCCCACTTGTGAAGAGGCTGTCAAGAGGGCAATGCCCATGTGGGTACAAGAACTGCTTCACCATCGTTGGCTCGACAACATCGTTCTGCATGCGCAGCCGCAGGGGGCGGATCAAATGCAAAGAGATGTCGACATGTGCTTGCAGCGAACGAACACACAAGCACTGTTGAACTGTTCTTTTGGTCGTGAATGGGATGAGCAACACTGCTGGTTTGCAGGGTTCATGATGGAACCCAAAGTAGCCTTGGAGTGTGATTCCATGTTACCCTTGGGTCCCGGGAGACCCCGACCCTCGGGTTGGATCGGGCTCAAGTCGCGGATCGCGAGGAAGATAGGCCTCAGGGTCGTGACGCTTCATGACTGCTTCTGGACCCACCTTTCAGAAGACCAGAAGGACGAGCAGATGATGCGGATTCGTATGCAAGTTGGTTATACACACAACAAAGAGCTGGAGCAGCGTCGGAAGAAAATTAGGCAGAAGGCGCACACATACACAGGCATCGAAGGCAAACGCAAGGACTGGACGCGACAGCCGGCGCCTGCTTCGGACGAAACCGCCTTCACCTAGTGGGTCCAACAGAGTTCAACAAGTGACCAGTTTCACAGCCGACTGATTCCACGACGGCCAAAATGCTCATCAGAGTCTGCGGTCTCTTAGGTCTTTGTCTCTAAAACGTGCTGAGCACAGCGACAGGCGTGAGAGCTCCAAAGCTGTCGCAGAGCAGCGCGTTGTGTGTAGCCCTGCTACAGGCGACGACTCACACGTGCACCGCTCTCAGAAGTGTGGGAAGCGACGGGCCGTCTCATGAAGATGCTGGTACTACGTACCCTTTTGCACATACCGCCATGCCATGCATCGCCCTTTCTTTCTGGAGGCGAAAGTTGATCGTCCCGACACGGCCAGCCGACATCCGTTTTCTCAGGTTCCAGCCCCGCCTCAGATGTGATGTGGTCGGCTTTGAGGATGGAAGATCTTACATAACCTAAGTAAAATGGCTGCTGGTACTGTCTAGAAGCACGCGTGTGAAATCTCTCGTGGTGCGAGTTGTGAGATGTCTGGCTGTCCAGCAGTAGCTGAGTTGCAAGGAGTACGCCCCCCCCCCCCCCCCCCTTCCTGCAATTTGCATAGGCCGCTTTCCGGTCAAGCTCGCGGTAGTACAAAGGGCAGACACCATGGCAGCTCCAAGGCTGTGATAGCGGCTAGCCTGTAGTGGTAGTTTAACCCCGAAGATGACCTTGTGCCGGCGGGAAACTTGGGAAACTTCGACCTGGCTTTGCCAACTCTGCCGATGATTTTCTGTGCTCAAGCCCCGGAAAGATTCCCAAAGATTGATTGGGAGATATCGGGCGCAATAGAAGTACAGAAAGGCCGAGAGTCCAGGGCGCCCTGCGCTCTTCGGCACCGCGGGTCGTTGCGCGATGGGGCCCCCGGACAGCCCTGCAATTGCAGCCAAGGCCAGGGCAAGGCAGCTGGGATCCTGAACCTTAGTCTATGTGGAGAGCGGTGCTCAGGTCCAAAGCTTCAAAGAATGGCTGAAGAACAGCTTTTCTGTTGACCTTGAGGTGCCTTTCTGCCTCCATGCAATTCTCGTGCTCTCTCCCTCTCTCTGGGCCTCTCTCCGTCTGTTAGCTCTTTTCAGGATCTGGGGCTTACGCTTCGCTGCGACCAGTTTGGTGGAATCGGTGTCTTCGTGCCGTGGCGAAGGTTGAGACGGAGATGGGGAGACAGCCTGGCCGCCGTCGGTTTTTTGGGAGCCGTGAGATTCCTGTCTCAGGCCTGTCGAAGGCTGGGTCCCGGTGATCTTCTGGGGAGGACCCGGCTTTGTTGATGCTGGCGATTGTGTGACACGCGACCTTGTATCGGTGCAGGATTCCACTGGAGGCCGCTTGGAAGCAGTGTGGGAGTATCCTCGACGATAGGTCTCGCACATGCTTGCTCAGGCCATCCTGCATGCCGGCCAGGTGCGGAAGTCCTCCTTTGGCGCCAAGGCCATTCGCATTCGCGGATGCATCCCAGGTCCATCGACCTTGTTCAGTGGTGATTGAGAGAGAGCCAGGTGTTGGCGGTCATTCCGGACATTCCTGGCGAGGAGTGTCTCAGACGAATCTAGCAGGGCGTGAAGCTCGATCATGTCGGCTGAGAAGAGGACACACTGGACTTGACTTGTTTGCAGATATCTCAGGCTGCTATGGTTGTACATGATCTGGGGTCGCGAGGACGGTCGCGACACTGCCGTTCCAGTTTTCACAGCCGACTTGGGAGCTCCTTTCAGGAACCTGAATTGTGTGGATGGTATCCCTACCTGCAGATTCTACCGCCCAGCGATCCGCTGCAGCTTTGCTGCTACAGACTTGACTGTTGGGTCTTCTCCAGTCTTGCCGGCTCTTCGCCAGCTGTCCGCGCCAGTGAGGAGCTGGTACTCCGACGAAGAATCGTTGCAGTGGCTCGTGGGCACGCCAATGCTGCAGGAAGCACAGCAGGCTGCCTTGTAAAAAAAAACCCATAAGAGACATGTGCAAGAGAGCTTCGGCGAGGCGGTGACGGAACAAGTCGAGAGGCATCTGAATGTGGTGGGCAGGCTTCAGAAAGCCGACCCAGCAGCTGGGCACTGTCCGGCTTAATCGAGACACTAGCCACTAGCAAGCCCCCGTCGCACGACTGGACACTAAGGCCTTCTTCACCTCGCATCGATTCAGCTTAGAGGCCTGGAGATGGGCCAGGTGGGCCGGCCGTCGTTTGGTCTCTGATGTTTTTGGCATGGGGAGCTGTCGCTTAAGACTGTGCAACACAGGTCATGCTACGTTTCGCGGGCGTTTGACCGACTTGCCTTCGCTACGTGTGTGCCCCAGACATCCCGATGTTACAGTGGTGGCTGGCTGTCGTTATTGGTTCTGCCAGTATTCGATACATTATCCATTGGCAGTTGTGATATGTGTTTCTTTGCGTGGCCATTTGACACTAGCCAGTAGCCCTAGGTGCGGTTGCGGTGGAGTTTATTCTTAGTTATGGCGACTTCTAATATACGATTATTAGTACAATGTACAATAAACTTTCATATGCTATAATATACTGTAACAATTAGTAAGCAAGCTCCCCTGGTTTGGCCTGGGCCTGGCCTTGTCCTTCTTTCTTGTCCTAGGTGGGGCTCGTCTGTTTGGTTTGGCTTGGATGTGTGTCTATACTACTACAGGTTACTGCTGCCCTCCGTCGCAGAAAAGCACCCTTCCGCGCACTGAGCCCGACATGAGCAGGGTCTCTCATGCTTAGCTTACTTGCTTACTCAATACCGCATGGCCCACTGCATGTTTCATGCATCCCAGGTAGAACTTGGCCTGACGCAGCGCATCCCTGAATTTTCCAAGCTTTACTTGACAAACCTTTTCAGCCAACCTTATGTGAGCGGAGGGAATCAGCTACCCGATGGTTCGATTAGTCTTTCGCCCAAATATCCGCCCATAACGAACGATGAGCTTTGGAAAGGTCAGGCGACTGGGATTCTGACGGCCTTTGTCCCTTGTTGGATTCCCTGAACCACAGAAATGACGCTGAAGTGGAGGCTGGGCAGAGCGTGAGAGCGTGCCTCGAAAGAGCTCGGGGTCTACTGTTGCTGTTGGAGCCGAGAGGCTCGCTTCGACCAGAACGGGGCACGATGCTCGGTGGTGATTAAAGTCACCAAGGAGATCGTCAGACAATCCGTTTCGGTCAAGTCTCAAAGGGCTGTACCCTTCGTGTTCCCAACCGGCAAGGTTTTCGGGTCCCCTTTTGCGGCATCCCGATTGTTTGGAACGGCTTGGGTTTGAGAGATTCGATGGGACTTGTAGAAGGATTCGACTCAGCGACACGACGAGCTTCACTTGCAGATTTAGGTTTTAGGGCTCCGCGAGAGAGAGAGAGAGGGCTGTAAAAGGGTTTGGGTTCCAATGACGCACGCCTCGAATCTCCATGTGCCCAGCACCCAGGGCTCCAACTGCCAACTGGAGCTGTTGGCTACCAGGTGGGGGATGAGGCACCCTGCAAGATTGTCTGGAGTGATGTTTCCGCCACTTAATGTGAACTACCGTAGCTTGAGCTGACTATTATATTGAGATATAGTACAAGATCTGGCGACTTTGTCAGGTGCACCACCTGTATCAGAGAAACTGTGCCAACAGCAGCCTCTTGTTCCACTACGGCTTTGCTTCCTTCAAGAACCCGAATGTGCCTCGCCTGTCTGAGCCATGTGCCTCGGATGGCAAGTCTTGGAGTGTGCGCACGCACGGAGGACTCCGTCCGGGAATTGAAGTTCCACCTCATTCCGGGGACGGTGTCGCAGCGGCTTAGCGCTGCTTTCCCGCATCACAGATGAGGTCAGTCTGCAGAGTGTCCGCATTGGGGGCTCGTTAGAAGCCGATGCACACCGATGTGGTGATGGAGAACTGTCATCGAATCTTTCGGTTCAAGTCGAGTGTGACGGATAAGTCGATGAGGCTGAAATTGACGATGACATTCACGAGCGTGGCTGTGCGGCTCCTGATGATGACAGTGACTATTGATGATGCAGGTTCTTTTGTACTGAAGCATGCTGAAGGTGCGGCGGTGGAGGGGATGATGACGATGGTTCTGCTGCTGCTGATCGTGGTAAGAGCGATGATGGCTGTGCTTCTTATGTTCACGATGGTGATGGTGGTGGTGCTGCTAATGCTGCTGATGATGGTCGTTGTGATGGTCACGGCGACCACGACAGGTAGTCATCATCTTGGTCACATTGTCAAGAGTACATGAAGACACACGAGTTATCTATGACGCCAGCTGTAAGCATGCTAAGAGTAATAACACTTGTGGGCCTGATGAGGACCACGGCATCCGATTGAGCCGGTCCGACATGGACATTTGAGCATGTCCAAGCTGGCCACAAGCATGACCTGGCCCCTGTGACATACCGAAGAACCTCACCTGCGAGCATTTCCGACGCTACACAGAGGGTCGATTCACTAAGCTGGGCCCTGGGGGGCCTAGACCTAGGACCCCGGAAAAGGGTAACGATTTTTGATGACCGCACAAGTGTGGCGACCACCAGCCATTGCCCAGGTATTGAATACCACAATGCCAGAGCTGGAAGCGTCAAGTGCTGGAGATGTCGTGTGCATCCACTTGACCCAGGCGCGGAACAGTTCAAAACTTTGTGGACCGTTACACATAGTGATACATAGTTACACACTTACATAGCAATCGAGATCGCGACAGACCGTGCCTTCAACGGCCAGTTAAAAGCCAGCGAAACAACCCCTATCTCTAAAGTTCTAAAGCGCCGAAGTCCGGTAGCAATTGAGTTGTAGAATGCTTTGGGGCCGAAGTTGTTTAACACGAAGTAAATCATGGTCGTAGCAGGGAGTCGCAGAACATCTGCCGGAGCATCCGCCGGTATCTCCCAGAAGCGGACTGCCAATAAAACCCGGGAAGTAAAGGAATCTTAGCATAGAGTTAAATATACAACGATGTAATATGACCCAATAAGCTCTGTGTTCATGAAGTTGGGCTGCGGCTTTGCTCCCCGAAGCTTCGTTGCACTCCTGCTTGGCGCAGGGCCT